TTGTAGTGCCAAATGTAAAGCTGCATAAAATTTAAGATCAAGATTGTATAATGGAATGCACTTATAGAGTTATATATTTAATTCCCCATTTAAAATCCTCACCTTATGACCTGATGCCACAGCAAGAAGCTCACCTTGTGCATGGAAAGCTATGGATGCAATAGGACGATCTGCATGGAGGAGCACATGGTTGAACAATAACTCATATAAACATACAAAAATTTCCAACTATCCAACCATTCTGACAAGAAGATGCAAAGAACTTGGAGAAAGAAATTACAGAAATCACGAGAGCCAATGCATTCTGCAGTGTTTGCATCCCACAGTCGAACATCATAATCCAAGCTTCCACTAGCAACAATTTCGGGGTACAGCGGATGGAATCTGACCTGAAAGAATAGCAGAAGATGAATGCAGAAAATTGGAGCAACTTGCCACACAGATAACTATAATCAATGAAGCCATGGCAAAAAGAAACTAACGACTAAGCCACATTCGCAAAATATGTTAATAAGTATACCCAATGAAATTGACTTTTAAAGAACAAATAAAAGGCTAAATAATCCACCATACTATTTTTTATATTAATCTATTTTATAAAAAAAATTGAAGAATATTATACTATTGATCACAAGTATGATAAGCTGAATGAAATGAAAGATTTCTTAAGAACAAAGAGTGCAACTTTCATGCTTACCACCCAAGGGGTTCTTCGGTGGCCACTTAGCACCTTTAAGCAGGTCCCAGTCTGGCAATCAATGATTTTTACGGTATGATCTCCACTGCAGGCATGAAAACAATAAAAAGAAATAAGCATCTACATTAATTATACTAAACATGGAGCTTCATCACTACACTGTAGCAAAAAAAAAAAAAAAAATCCCTTAACAGCAACTCACTGCGTAGAAGCAAGCGTTCTCCCATCAGGGCTGAATGCTGCTGCAATTGTTGACCTTGGAGGAGGCAAAAGAGGACAATATTTAGCTGAAAGATGTCGTAGTGATTCAGCCTCGACCCTGACAAGATTCCAAGTTTAATAACACATCCCAAATAAGGGCCGAAGTAACAAAGAGGAAGTATCACAACATAAAATGGCAGGATAAACAAATAAGCAAAATATTTCTCATTATTTCATTTATTCCATTAGACATTCAGATGCATTATAAGAAACAAAGCACTACCATGAGATAAGACCCCGCTTAGCATCTCTGGCTGCTTCACATCTTGGCCCAGCCGGATCACGTTGGCTGTCATGAGAATCTCCCCAAAACCTCCTCAATGATCGTTTAGTTTGAGGAGAAACCTCCCTCTGGGCTAAAAGTTGAAAAACATTGCCGACTCTGAAAAAAAAGAGATCAAAGTTAGGCAGTAAGATGAGTTAAGTCTGCAAAACCCAAGAACCCTAAATAGTAAATGAACTATCTGATCTATATATCACATCAATATAGCAAAATCCCATAAGCCAAAACAAGTTCCAATGCTCCATGTCCTCATGATGATAATTATAACACCAAGAATCCTCGTGTTAATTATAGACAAAGAAGAAATTTGTAAAATTTCAATCATACTCGCAGTTTTATTTCATGGGAGAGTTGAACAATCAGCATAGTAATGAAAACTCTCTCCTTTAACTAGAAATACACAGGTCAAGTCCAATTAGATCATTCAATTAGCCGTAGCTACAAAGTACAAGCCATCGTCGCTCCATCCCCTCGACCCTCCGAACTCCCAAAGACCATGGCAACGATTCCATGCCAAACTACTACTACAGTAGCACAAGAAACTAAAATAGCACTAGAAAATCAAGAAAGACTAGTTTACCAGAAAAAAAAAAATCAAAATTTGTGTATTTAATCAAACTTCGTGCGCTCGATTAACATTTTCCCAGATAACTTTCAGGCTGGGGGAAACACATCAAAATCTTAGAAATTCAGACCCAAGATTTAAGAAATCTTGACCATACATATTTCGATCCTCGCACAACCCAAACCTCCCGCATAAGAAAGAGGGCAATCATCCATACAATCAAAACACGAACATCGCATCGAATAATCATTCAGTCCCACCCTCACCTTTGCCTGCTCAATGGATAAGCCGGACCAGGCTGAGAAACGTGAGGCGGGAGCGGTGGAGTCGATGTGGAAGGAGAATTTGATTCGTCAAAAACCCCGAATGAAGCTGTCATCGTTTACAATAGAAAACGTCATGCTCCAAAACTCTCCGGCATTTCGATCGGGAAAAGGGAGAAATTGGAGGAAATGAATCAAAATTCGAAGTGAAATAGAGAAAGGTGCGGTGTTGTATTAATTTAGAAGCAATGATCGCCAGAGAAGATAGAGAAATTCAGGCGAGGAAGGGCTTTAAATTATCGAGAAGGATCTCCTGCAAGAAGAAGAAGAACGCATTCCGGTGGAAGAAAACCTAGAAGAAGAAGACGAAGAAGAAGACGACGAAGAAGAAGAAACGAAGCAGAGATCGAAAGAGAAAACCTCCTCTGAAAATCAAAATGTTTTTTTATTTTTATTATTTTCTTTTTCTTCTTTGAAGAGTTCTATTCACACCCGCAACTACAAATTGCTATTTACACCCACAATATTTTAATTTATCCCAATTAATTTTAAATCTTATATTAAAACAAATAATTAACAATTAAACCCATCACTAATTCTGAGCTTTTTAATTTTTAAAATAAAATCTTTTTTTAATCTTCTTTTTTCAATTTCAATTTCAATTAATAATTAATGTTATATTCATCTTTAATAAATATAAATATAATGTTTTCATTTATATATAAAAAAAAATATATACATATAATGTGAGGTCTTTTTTCAACAGATTCTAAATTGAATTCAAAGAATCAGATTTTTTTTTTTTTTTTTTTACCTTTTTAAAAATTTAGATACTACGAATAAGAATGAAAATATAGAATTTTATTTTATTTTATTTTTCAAATTAAAAAACTAACATTTATTATTTTCTCTCTTTTTTTTTAAAAAAAAAAGAATAGTATATTCACGTAGTTTCGAGATATTATCCAGATATTTCAATTATTATTTATATTTTAAATATTTTATTATGGTTTACTTTTTTATAGTGTTCAAACCATTAATATTTTTTGTTTTGTAAAATTATTAAAAAAATATGTTTATTTATTTATTTATTGTTATTATTATTTATTTAGAAATTAAAACGAGTCATTTAAATTGAACAAGAAAACAGAACCAACCCCAACACTATGGATTGGGTTGGGGTCGGTTAGATAACATTTTTTTTACTCAATTTGTTTCTATTTTGAGTCTAATNTTTTTTTTTTTTTTTTTTTTTTTTTTTTTTTTTTTTTTTTTTTTTTTTTTTTTGTAGACCAGACATACCTTTCAAATATTTTAATTAATTTAATATAAAAATAATATCTTTACTTATATACCTGTAATTTTCTCGTACTCTAATAATAATCTAAAGTAAATCAAATTATTTTGTTAAGCAATTGGTTCCATATTTTTCTCTCTATTCTCCAAGTTCTTAAGTTTTGAGTGAGTCAAATCTCTCTCTCTCTCTCTTTCTCTCTCTCTCCTCCACGTGTCAGTCTAAAAAAGCAACCTCTAAACTTATATAAACAGCCTCAATAAACTTCAAAACCCAAAAAAAAAAAACAATAATCTTCAATTGTTAAGGAAAAAAAAAGAGAGAATATGTCTAGCATGCAGCAAAGTTTCAATGCTGACCAAACCCAAAGCCTAAGTCAGGTGATTGAAAATATGTTTCGATATTCGTTCTTTATGTTTTGTCGTACTTTCTTGTATGTTTGATTATGGATATCGAGTGTGATTTGAATGATCTTGATCTCGGGATCGTGAATAGTGATTTTTGAGGGTAAAGTTTTGGAAATGGTTAAGAATGGGTTGAAATGATGAGGCAGGCAAGAACAGAAGAATGGATGGAAGCCACCCAATCCACAGGCAATGAACCAAGGGACATATTGCCTACTGATTCAGCTCAAGCTCAACTTTCTGCCCACCATGATAAACAAGAACCTACTACTTTTCTCCAACAGGTTCTTCCAAATAATTTTCTTTGATAAAAATACGTCTAAAGAGCTTCTCGTTCGGGTTTGGGTTCGGGTTTGGATTGTGATGCTTTATTTTGTTGCAGACTGGAGAGAAGATGGTTCATATGGCTCAAGATGCTGTGGACACAGTGAAGGAAACACTTGGAATGGGTGACAAGAAATGAAGAACACCAAAGTTCTTTAAATAAAGAATTCAAATTATTAATTTAATTGATGAAGTTTATTATTATTAGGTAATATTTTGTTTGGAATTTGGATACAAATCCTCTTGCTTTTTGAATGTAATAAAGCATAGCAAGATATACAACGCTTCATTTTTCTTACCTCTGTGATAATTTATGATAATTTGCTAAATAGGAGCGTGGACGGTATGAGTTGGTCAACTAATAACTCGAACTTCAATATCCAAAAAAAGTCACGTACTTTCGAGTTCTGACGATGTCAATTCCATTGAGATATATAGTAGAATAGGCCAATTAACTTCCTCTTAATATCGTTTCGAGCAAAAACTAACTTTTAACTTTTAGCTTCCATCGAGATATAATCTCTCTTTGCTCTCTACAATTTGATTTTTCCAATTTAATCTATCCCTACTTCTTCAGCTATGCTATCAAGTTGCACTTTTACCCAATTTGGAAAGTTACTTCCGTTGATGAATGGTTATACAATGATGGTACTTATGAGCTAATTGTTCTACACTTATTACTTGGTGTGTAGCATGTTACATGGGTACGCGTCCTTGGATTGTTGTTGCATTGAACTAGTTCATAGCCTATTAAAAGTAGAAGACGCTCGGTTGTGGAATCTTCACGGACAAAAAAAGGATTAATACTCCACATTGTTTTTTTCGTTCACTCACCTAAGAATCTCTTAGATATTATGATACAAAATAGATCTAATTCTATTTTTCATGAGAGATTTCTGACTAAGAGTATTGAAAAACAATGTGGTAATTTTCATCATAGGGCTCAACTCAATCCCGTAACCATCGTGATAACGTTGAAGTGCAGAACAAAAAACAAACATTACAACTCAAAACCCTATTTCCTTTCCTGTCTAAGTGTATACGAAGTAACACTTCCACCAAAATTTGTGAAGCTCCTTTTCCATCTTCCTTGAAGAAATAACAATTTGGATGGCCTCAAAAGGTCAAGGGTAGCCTGCTTCTTTGATGTAAAAGAGAATTAAAAAACCGACACGAAATGTACAACTTATGATCTCCAATGTATTACCTAGCAACTTGAAGGATCAAAGAACAATGGAAGCTTCAAGCATTGGCCTTCCATTGTCAATGAATCACCCCCCACAATCTCAAAGAAGCTTGCTGGTTCTTCGGCGCGATGAGCCACTTGGAAAGAGCTTCATAATCCATCCCAAGACTCTCTCCACCACCTAAGAATGAGAACCTTTATATGTCGACCGAACTAATTCCAACAGTAAGATCAAACCATACTCTAAGTGCCCAAGCCCACTGCTAGTAAATATTGTATGTTTTGGCCCGTTAAACGTGTCTAGTAGGTAGAGATTTCTACACTCTTATAAGAAATGCTTTGTTCCCCTCTCTAATCGATGTGAGATCTCACAATCTACCCTCCTTGGGGGCCAGCGTCCTCGCTGGAACACCGTCCTCGCTGGCACACCGTCCGGTGTCTAGCTCTGATACCATTTGTAACAGCCCAAGCCCACCGCAAGCAGATATTGTCCCTTTTGGCCCGTTACGTATCGTGTCAGCCTCACAGTTTTAAAACGCGTCTGCTGTGGAGAGGTTTTCACACCCTTATAAGGAATGTTTCATTCCCCTCTCCAACCAATGTGGGATCTCACACTAAGCCGCCAATTTTTTTTCTGAATGCAGATGAGCAGCAATTATTTATACTTAATCCCACCCCCCACACCGGATCACGTGCAAGTGCATACAAACACAACAAACAACACAGGACACATGGCAGACTAAGATGACTTAATGACAGATAACAATACCTCATCGCCTTCATCTGCAAGTACGATATTTTCAGGTTCATGATGCACTGCGCGAGAATCAAGATGACTCACAGGAACAATCTCACCAGCCATACTTTGAGCAGTCAAAAGCTCTAATCTTTGAGTTTGTGCTTCTAGTTTCCTAGTGAGCTCTTTGTTCAACTCCTTCATAAAGAATCAAATAATTGTACAAACATAAAAGACTCAGGTTGAGGGACAATATGAGCAGTCTAAAATTCAGTTCCTAACATACAGGCTTGAATCTCCAGCCAATTGTATTTTTTGAAGGTAGGGTAATAGCTATTAAGGTGAACATGTATAAAAGAACCGATAGTGTGTACAATATTCAGATTGGACAAAAATTTACCTTCAACCTAGAATTGCCAGTTAACTCAGATGCCAAAGCTTGTGTTAACTCCTCTTTCTCTAAAGCTAACTGCAAATCAATAAAATCCATCATCACAAGTCAATAATATTGGATACATTAAATAACTTATTCCTCTTTTCTATGTGGTTAGGAAAGAAACCGTCATATCAATAAGAGGGACATGACATCTCTCATGAGACAAAGAGGGCAACGAAAAGGATGCTCAATTGGCCAAAAGGTACTCCCTTCTTTCTTTCTTTATGTGTACACGTGTGTGTGTGTGTGTGTGTGTATATGAAACGGAAACTTGTATATTCATATCGAGAAAAGGAAAACAACTTAAGGGCAAGGGGTAGAGATAACCCGCTCCCCAAATCACCAGGGTTTATTATTGAAAGACAAGAGAAGAAGTCAATTACTCACTTTAATGACTGCAAAAACCAATAGGGAACAAAAGCTAAAACAATTGAAACAATAATCACATAAAAAGAGGAAAATAAAAAAAGATGATAAAACCCCCAAGATAAGTATTACAACTTCTATTGCGAATTCTTAATTCCCGAAACTAGACATAATTTATATTATATTTTCTTGTATATAACAAGAAAAAAAAAAGTTCATATTCATTAACGGATGTTACCTCAGCCATTAGAGCATTGATGTTTTGAACCGTCCTCATGTGATCGGGAGGGATAATGACTGATGAAACTTCAGTAGTAGCATTTTCAAGCAGCATGGGAACTCCGGAGGTATCATCTTCAGTAAAAGATGCTCCATCTTTTACTTCATGGTTAGAAGTACCAGGAGTAGTATCTGTATTCATTGCATGAATTAAACATTAAATACAAAAGTAAATAAAAAATTACTGTGACAAAGTTTATCTTGAGAAAAAAGATGGGTGAAGTAAACTTATGAAAAAGAGATGAAAAAGGAAGCTCTCATCACCTAACTCTTCTGTAGATGTCGCCATGTCTTTTCTATTAGAAGTATTGCTAATATCAATAGACTTTCCACTTGTAGAAGCTTTGCGATACTTCGACTGCAGCAGCTTCTTCTCTGTTAAAAAGAATGGATGAAATGACAGATAACTATGATGTTATTTAAAAGATGGAAACCAGAAGGGTCTTCTTAAAGTGTACCAAAAAATGATATCATCACATCATACCGTTCACGATAGGAGGAGAAATGCTAACAAATAACACCGAAACAGCAAAGAAAAAAAGTGGTGGATCTACTTGTTATCATTTCTAAAAAACAGAACACAAACAGGCAATTATTTTCAAGAACAATTATGGTTCCATTTAATTCAATTCATGAAAAGAAAATGTATGGGGGAAAGGGAAAATTGTAGCAAGTTCAATACTCTCTTCCACGCAGAAAAAATTAATCACAAAAGAGATCGTCAAACAATCCACCATCTCCGATAAACAAATATCTCAAATGTATTGTTTCTAGCACTATTAGAGATTAATAAGAAAATAAATAGAAAAATAGTAAAGCATTCAAATTAGTCTATTAAAATTACAAACATTATTATTTTTACGACAATCTTCATTACACTTACCTTCCTGAAGAGCATCAATAGTTGACTGAAAATCTTGACGTTCTTTCTCCATGATAGACATTTTCTTCCTGCAGGATCCAATAAAATTATAGTTTATTTTTAAGCTCCAGTTAGTAAGAATAGCTAAAGACAAAAATCCTTTATAACGGATAACCTTCCATTGATTAAATGAGAAGTAAAAATAAGGAAAACTAAGATTGCTCCAAAATATGAACTAATTACACATGGAGTAACTAAAAATGGTAGAGCAAAGACAAAAACTACACAAAGTTGGAAGTGAAAAATCATGCCAAACTCAACTTCCGCCCATACTTTTTTTTAATAATAAATAAATAAATACAACCCATTATTTCATTCTAACCACAAGCCTCACAGTAAAACTTTGAAGCACTCATGCATAAAATAACATCTCTGGCTTTTAACTGAACTGTGATCACAGAAGCATTCTAAGTTCTCCCTAAAATTTGTATGAAACACCAATGAAATTCCCGTATCACTTTGTTTTCCTTTACCTTTGGTTGGTGAGGCTTTTTATTTTCCGTATGGCCTATCCTAGAAGTTCTCTCCTTTTTTTCAATGATATTTTTTGTCGGAAAAAAAACAAAACAAAAAGTTTTAAATAGGTGCAATGCTTAGCCTAGTCATTCAAAACACTTGATTTCCATGAATAGCCATTTCTGGAACTTTACCAAACAAAGAAATAACCATGTCAAAATAACTGAGGGACTTAAGGTGATGATTGATTTAAGAACCAGAGGTTATTTGTTAATGGCCACAATATTGGATGACGTACTTGTATGAAGAGATTTCAGCTTCTAAGTTCTCCAATTGCCTCTCCAGCTTTAACTCATTAGACCTTAGTCTTAAGGCCTATATAAATAAATAAGAAACACATTTTAGACATAATTAATCATCCAAACATAATGCAAGTAGGACTCCAGTCCAATCCCTAAGCAGGACGGTCAATATCATTCATTGTCATATGGAAAGCATAACAAGAACATGTTAAATTCCTCAATTAAATCCAAACAAAATATATATTTAACCAGTCAAATGAAGAGCGACATATCTATAATGCAACAATGGATAGATAAACCATGAAGAGTGCTAATATCAAAATCCAAAAAGGATGTCTACCCAAATCACAACAGTTGCATTTTACAGCTTAATTTGATAGACATTCTGATCTAAATGAATGTCATTCCTCGACCTCCAAATTATGCACATATCATAATCAACTTGGAAGTCTTCAGTTTGGAAGAAATCTTCATTAGATGATAACGCTTTAAATAAGACTTTGGTTTTCAAGGTGCTTTTCTAATTATTCTTAATGACCGAGGAAGATTTCATTTTCAAGGATGTAATCATTTGGGCGGAGAAGAACGCAGCCCAATTAAGACAAATATTTGGAGAGAGAACCCAGCAAAAATCTTGGATTGAGAACACCAAAGAGAGGATTTAAGAACTCCCATTTTCTTTAAGTTCAAATGCACTCCTAATTTCCCCCTTCGAAGTTTTTCTATGGGGTTCCTGAAAACTCCTCCAAAATAGAGCCATATGTAGTCTTTATTGAAAATCTCAACGACTGGATTGATCAACTAGAATTCGAATTGGAAAAGCTTCACAAAGAAATGGCTCTTTGTTTGGAAGCTCATTCTAGAAAGAAGCTAGAGCTACAAGTTGAATTCAAAAAGGAGACGCAGATGTAAAATTCAATTATTTTGCAACGACTGGATTGATCAATTATTTTGCATAGGGAAAGAGAAACTTAACGTGCATATTTTTACAAGATAATCATTTTATTTATTTTATTTCAGTATAAAGAAAAGAAAAAAAAATGGAAATATGAAACAACCTTTTCTGAACAATCTATGGTCATCAAGATCAAACCCTTGGCTACAAACTAAGATAGGCAGTCCAAAAGAACTTAAACTGAAAAAAGCTGTATCGAATTGAAGGTCTTTGGAACTATAACTTCACTTTTCGACGGAGGAAACCTACAATTATGATATCAAAAAATCATTACCTTATCTTCAAGACCAATTACTTCAGAAGCTATCAGCTTGGCACGTTCATCAGCTGCATTACACTCTAGTTGTACATTTGCATACTCAAGTTTGATAGATTCCAGTTCAACCTGGTGAAGTGAAGGAGTCACACACACATACACATGTATATGCACACACGTCTGTACAATAATTGGGGAAAACTCCTCATTTCATAAACATGTATAATACTTTTTTATAAATCTGCTCATGAAGCATTGTAGAAGCAAAAAGTACTTGGAACGTGAAATCTTAAGTCTTCAAATTAATGAAAATATGCAGGTGTGAGAACTGAGAATGACACATCTGGCACAAGCTACAACAGTAAGTTTAATAAACATCACACATAATGCAAGTAAGGAAAGGTAAAATGGATTCAATTTCACTTCCAAAACTCCAAAGGAGTCAAAGGCGTCTCACAAAGTCTCAGGACAACACTGTAACAGTTCTTTGGATATATCAGGACAAAATTAATATAAATCATCTAAATCCCCATGCTAATTCATGAATTGAATCTAGAATATCAACAATGATCAAGTCAATTAAGAAGTTAGAACTAAATTGGATACCAATGATTAAAAATTATATCCAGCTTTCAGATTGAATACATGTCTGTACTATTATAGCATAGTTCGTTCTTAAAACAAACTTCTCACAAGCACACTCTTCATGATCCATAAAAAATCCAGAGGAATACAGAAATCGGGAAAGAAAATCAAAATAACATCCATTGTGGAGGCTAGTCACCCCATTTCAGTCTGGAAACTTGATTTTCAGTGAAAAACTAACAAAAAGGAAGAAACTATCAGAGATAAGAAAAAGACTAACCATTTGCGTCTTCATTTCCTCTTGTAACATCTCCATATCAGATTTTAGTTGGTTGACAACACTTCTCTGAAGGATTACCAAGAAAAAGGAAAACAAAAATAAAAGAGTTCAATCAAAGGCATATGGTTATCAAGAATTAATCTCACATTAATTTAATTTGAAGAGTGTCAGCGTGAAAACTGCAAATGTTTAAAGGGCTCCCACTTGCTTTTCATTGAACAAATGAAAGATACTAAATGGGGAAAAAACACACTCTAATTGGTCTTCCTCAGAAAACAATCGTAAATAAATAATAATAATAATAAATAAATAACAATATGAAAGGGGCACCTAAAAACATGAACTATGCCATCTTCTATATCCAGACAGCCTATAAGACATTAGATTCTTCAACTTGTAAGAAACAACGTCTGATCGTTAAAATAAAAGGTTTAAATTTGGAATCGAACTCTATGATTCATCACAAGAATAAGGATGCTCAAATGGGAAGGTGGTTGTTTCTTCGTATTTAGTACATTATTGGTTGTGAAGTCACATCAGCTGGACAGAGGAACTTTTTAATTAGAAAATATACATACAGCTAACACATGTTAGCAGAACAGTCAAATTTTAACAAAACTGTAAATGTCTGAATGATGAAAGCCATAGATTATTACTTAGTCAGATATCAAGACCAGCAAAATATAGAAAGTAGGTCATGAACAAAAAATGTTTAGTCATCGGAAAGGTGATAGCGTTACATGATACCCACGCAGATTCTATAAACTAACCTGTTGATTATAGCTATCTGTAAGAGATGAATTTTCAGCAGCTAAGGACTCTGCTAAAGCCCTTGAAGCCTCCACAGCTTTTTGTAATGAGAATTTCTCTTGTGTCAAATCTTCAATGTGCTGAACAAGAAGAAAATTCAAGATCACAAAGAATGTCAATGGAATATGATCTTCACGAGAGAAAGAAATGCAAAGGAAGCTCAAGAATGAAAAAAAGTTAGAAGATGGGAAAAACATTTCCCAAGAAGCACAAAAAGGTATGTAGTTCATCATTTATTTAAGCAGTATCATTTCTTTGCAACATCTTCATTCTATATAGTACGTGGAGTCAAATAAATTGCAATAATTACATTTCACCAAGTTCAGCTATCTATTCTGAAAAAAAAAAAAAATAGTAAGAACTCTTCAACAAGCTTCTGGAAGTTTTAAATTAACCTGTTTTCCTTTTGATGGATCAGGCTAAGGGTCAACAACACTCGAGCTATACATAATAGGAATGTCCATTGAAAGATTCAACAATAAAGAAATGTCTTGGAATGTAATTTTCAAAATCAATCAAACTACTACAAAGCAAGAGGACTCATTTCAGTATGACATGAAAATAATGAAGTAAAGGAAATAAGATCGTCTGCTCCTTCAAGTGAAGGTATGCAGCAACACAAACTTGAAATTCTCAATTTTAAGTAACTCACTTGGATCGGAGTTCACTCCATGCAGTAATTTCATATCATCAATAAAACTGTTTCTTATAATGATAATGATTAAAAAAATACTACTTGAGTTTACATAAACATGGGAAATACTTGATTCTATACAGAAAAACAAATGGGGTAGAACCTCAGTACTCCAAGATGTATAGTAGACTAAATGTAAAATATAACTGCATAATTTTCTCAACTCGTTAACTTTTCTAGTTGGAAATACTGTAGAAAGGGTCCATCCCCATACCAATTGCAACTACAGAAACACATATAAATTATCTTTTAGTTTTGGTGAACTGATTTAAATAAAAATTCAAAAAGAACATAATATAATCTTTCTTGTTATATTGCAAATTTACATATTAGATGGACCAGTTCGAGATTCAATGACCACAACCAAATATAAAAGTACCTGCTCCAAAGCAGCAAAATCTTCATATTTCTTGGATGAATAAAGCTCGTGTTTCTTCTCCAGCATACTATCCTCCTCTATCCCTACAATTGGCTGGTCCACACCCTTAGCAACAAAAACTGGAGGAGGAAAGGAATCGCTATATGATACTGGAGTGTTTTGAGAGGAAAATTTTGAGGATGTTCCTGCTGTTTTCATATCCATTAATGGCTTCTGAAAAGGCAATGACTCTGAGCCATCGCGTTCGTTTGTTCTGAACCCATCAGATTTGATAAGATTCTGAAAAGAGAAGGATATTGTGGCCTCTTTTTCATTTGCTTTAAACCCATCAGATATTCTAGATCCCTTATCATGTTCAGCAAGCCCAAGAAAACTCCCTGAAGGAGCCTTGGGTACAGTAAGAGAATCAAGAAACAATGAGCGAGACCTCCTAAAACTATTTTCAGATGATGTTGTATATGACGGTTCATAGATGGAGGGGCTTCTCGAGTCAGTATTAGAACCAGCAGATTCAGATGACTGCATGTTTGAAGGCTTGATTCTAGTAAAATCAGTTACATCAAAGGGCTTTAGTTGTCCAAGATCAGATGTCTGCTCTCCAATGAATTCTGAAGTTCTGTGCACATTTTCCCCAACTTTTTGGGAACTATATCCTTTTCTACTTGTACTATTAAAGAAGCCTATAAAAAATACAAAACAATCCGTTATCATCAATCCTCCCTGGATAGAACATGAAAAAGAATAAGAAAAAAAAAAATCAAACATCACAAGATATATAGAAATTGAAATCCAGTCAAAATTACCATCATTAGATGACGTGAAAGAATGTCCACTAGCCAAAATATTGTTACTACTGGAATCTGTATATTGTAAATTTCCGATAGTATTCTGTGGAGAAATGTTTGCAGAAAACTTATGCAAAGGACCAGAGCTCTTAAGTATAGAATTTTCTTGACCATCTCTTCTATTGAGTGGTCCATCCACCTCACGGAGAGCAGACTGACCAAAAATATTATCGGTCTCTTTACTTGCGTGTTGCCCAATGCCAGATGCACTCCCAAACGGAATTCTAGCCTGGGAGCCACTGCTTACTCCGGAATCCTTATTTATTTCTAATATTTTGTTTCCACTAATACCATGTGTGGTTCCAGAGAGCCCTTGACCATTTGATGGTTGCTTCACCGGTTTAGCAGAAAAGGCTCCATCCCCATTTCTTGTAAAAGGATAGTCCGCATGTCTTTCATTCAAGACATGTTGATCAATATTCTGAGAAAAGCTATTTTTATTTCTGTCATCTTTGACTACCACAGAGGATGATTCAATAGCAGATCTGCCAGCTCCATTCGTTGTCGTAGCTCCATCAGAATCTGTAATTCGTTGAGCATGTTCAGATTCTAAAGGTTTCTGTTCCTGGGAACCACCAGCTGAAATGTGGTTTTGGCTTGGTGGTGCGGCTTTCTTGACTCGTTCTGCTGCCTTTTTCTTTCTGAACTCCTCTAACTGCAAGAAAAAGGAAGTAATCAAATTTTACATGCAACAAGAATCAATGAAGTGATAAAAGAAAAAGGGGTACTTTCTCCAGTTTCTGCTATCGCAATCATTTGTCGCTCTGATTACTTCATCCATATGATGTGTGATGTTTTTTTTTTTTTTTTTTTTTTTTTTTTTTTTTTTTTTTTTTTTTTTTTTTTTTTTTNNTTTTTTTTTTTTTTTTTTTTTTTTTTTTTTTTTTTTTTTTTTTTTTTTTTTTTTTTTTTTTTTTTTTTTTTTTTTGCATAGAGAAGATAAGTTCTTAATGTCAAAACCTTGGGTAGACACAACAGAACAACCAATTTAATGATAGAAAGTACTCGGAAAAAAAAAGGTTTCAGAACTTTTTCACAATCTTCTTTAGGTAAGCCTTTACACTTGTATATTAAAAAATAAAAGTTATGGAACGTGCTTAAAGCTATCAGACATCCATTACAATCCTCTGAGTAAGTTACTATAATCCAGATAAAAAGTTGAACAAGCACCAGAAGGTGGATCAATTCCCTGTCATAGATGCAATCGATATCGACCCCACAGCTTAAAACATTTGATCAAAAGTACAAGCATCAAGCAAACAAGTTACAGCCAGATACTTAGCAAAGGAAAACATCAGCATTGACGTATCTCCCCTTCCACAAAACGGGTATAAGAAGCTCTGTGTGTAGGAGAATATTATATAATATAGAAACCAAAAATTTCCTAATGCAAATAACAGAAGTTAGAAAATCAAACGTTTCCCTAGCAGTTCGATCGTCGTCAATTTAATCCCAACTCAACCAGCCTATTGCATACAGAATCTCTACATTGATTGCCGATAGTTTCACATGAAAAACGTTCAAAGAAAAGAGAAGAAAAATCCCATACCCGACGCTTCCCTGCTTCCAAATGCTCTAATTTCCGAGTCGAAGCCATAGAATTGGGCAAAACCTGAGCCGAAGCCATCAAAACAACAATCCCCAGCTCAAGCAAACAATCACAAAGAAGCCTAAAATCCTTATGACGACACCATTACCGGGTATAAAAACACAACCCCACAAAAGGAATCAAACCAATCACCCCGAGCGGAATACAATGAATCTAAACCAAACACTGCGAGACTAAATTAGCAGAAAAGGAAACCGAAAATCATGATAACCGTCCAAAAAATGAAAGAATTACGAATTGCTGTAGGAGGAAAATGTTGTTGAAAACAATCCCAAGTTATAAAAGGAGGCGGATTCCAATCGGATCGGACAAGAGGAGATCTGTGGGGGGGGGGAATGAACAGCAGTCTGGCAGATCTCCTCTGCTAACTTCGATCCCTGTATGTGTGCGTTGGTAGATTGTTCTTACAAAGGAAATTTTTGCGGATTTTGCTGTTGTAATTTGGGTGAGGCGTCGAAATTTTTTTTATAACAAATAATAATTTTAAAAAAAATTGTATCATGAGAATAACGGAAGCGTCAAGCATGTGTTTCATTCCCTGTGTTCGTTCGCGGCGGGGAAATGTTTAAAATTAATTAGCAATTATAAATTTATTCTGAATCCAAATTATTTTTCAAAAAATTCGTACATGTACTCTCGATTTTATAACAATTAATTTTTGAAAGTTTAGTATAAAAATTCTTATCATCAAAATAAAATATGGATTTTTAGTGTATTAAAAATTAATTACAATAACAAAATGTCCTCAAAATGACCTATCTGACCTATCTAAGTAACAAGAAGAAGGATACTACTCTCTATCGTGCAAATTATTAAAATAGTTGAACCGTACAATTGGGTCAACCCTAACATCTGGAGATGGTATCCGACCATACCTAATTCTTGTTCGTTTCTTTTTTCACTCGATAAATTAGACTATCGACAAATTTTAAAACATATGAACTAAAGAGTTATTTTAAAAAAGAACGGATTAATTTTGAATTATTCAAATTTCACAATATATAAAAATGACCAAAATACCCTTACTAATTTTGGGTCGTCAACAGCTACTACCACCCTCCACCAGTAGAACAATTTAGTTTTTTGTGTAAACTTTCTAAACCCTATTTTGGAACAATTTAGTTTTTATATCCAACCTTAGCATCCAATAATTTAATTTATATACTTCCATATTTATAACAATTTAATATTTTTTTATGAGAATTTTTATCAAAATTAAATGCTAATTTAATATAAACCATTTAGAATTTATAAATTCTAAACATATGGAATTCTTAATCCATCTACGCAGTTAATTTCATTAAATCTTAAATTTAAAGTTGAGAATATAATTTTAGTCGTTACAAAATGAAAGTATATTAAATTAAATCGCATGAAATTCAAGAATGAAAATTGATTTTAAAATTTATAAATATATTTTTATTCATTCAAAATGAGTGTTTATTGATTAATATTAAATTAATAAAATTGTAAATATTGGAAGTCTGGGTGGTGTAGTTGGTTATCACGCTAGTCTCACACACTAGAGGTCCCCGGTTCGAACCCGGGCTCAGACATTAGTTGTAGTTTAATTTTGGATATCGTTTTACATAGTGGATTCTTGAGATATTTAATATTTTTCTTTTTTATGAAAATAATCATATCTAGAGTTTCATCAAAATTAATATTAACAAATATATCTATAGTTCTGAATATTTTTTTAAATTGTGGATTCTTTAGATAATTACATATATTTAAGAATTTTATTTTTATGAAAGTAAATATATTTTTAGAGTTTTATAATAATTAATGTTAACAAATATATTAATAAAATATACCATTTTATTTGAGCAATCCAACCAAACATAAAGTTTTATTTATTTATTTTGTTTTATCTTCTCGAGTAACCCATTAACCCGATCATTCATATTTTATTTACAAGATAGCATCATCCTTATGATAAGCTCTCATTTTTCGAGCTCACTTGCTCATCTTACCTTACATCACATGAAAAAATACACTCTTATCCAAAAACTTTAACCAATGCACATGGTGTCAAGATCGGATATGAGATTAGTGGCTAGTTTGAGTTTGATATATGTTTTTATACTTTGTTTTACAAGAACTCAAGAGTAAAGTCACGTTACCGCCTACACTAGTTCAATCAACTCAACTTATTGCAAGTACTAAAGTCATTACTAGCTAGATTAAGTAAGCTGAACTCAACTTAAAAGGGTGAACACGAGAGGAATGACATATGTTCAAACCTTTTTATGCTCCATACAAATAATAGAGGGTCATTTATCATATCAACAATTCAACTCACACCAAGTGCGCGGAACGCTCACGTGCTAATCCACGTGTTAATTAGAACGCTCATGGGGCTAACCTTCTTTTATTATATCATAAGGAAGGCGCTGATCCAACAAATCAAGCAAAGCCCATATGAGGATCATTGGCAGAGCAGATAAATTCAAACAAAATGAGTCAAGTCTGTTCGAAACAAAATGATCACCAGACTTCGGGCCGTAACTCACCGGTTGCTGGAGGCATCCATTTTCCTGAGTTGTAAACGCTTTCACCCACTTTCCAACCCGGCACGTCCTTCATAACTTCAGCCTCATACTCGAGGTAACTCTTCCACTCTTTCACGAATCTGGAAAGCGATCTCAACAACACGGTTAGATTATAATTATAACCAGGAAAAACAAAGCCATCGCAGATTAATAGATCACTTCGAAATGGCATATACATCACACATCCTAGATCAAATAAAGACTCTCGATTTTACCTTTCATCTTCCTCAGCTTGAAGTACGGGCAATATTGCACGCCGGGCTGAATATTTTTCTTCTTTCAGTGCTCTGGAATAGAGAAGTACAAAATATATTATGAATTCAGGCCAATGCCCTGTATATGCTATATGCTGCATAGGCTCATTGATAACGTCATAAGTATTGCACCAAAGAGTAATGTAAACTTAATAAACCAAGAAGATTCAAAGGGTCGAACGAAACAGCATGACATCATCTACGGGCACTTTTTTTTATACTAAATATCAATCCCGTAAACAACCCTTCAAAGTACTAAGAAACTACATGCACACTTTTTCTGTAACGGCCCAAGCCCACTGTTAGCATACATTGTCCTTTTTGGACTTTCCCTCCTGGGCTTTCCTTCAAGGTTTTTAAAACGTGTATGCTAGAGAGAGATTTTCACACCCTTATAAAGAATGATTCGTTCTTCTCCCCATCCTTAACTTTCAGTTTTATCAAATTAAACCCTAAACATGAACGGATGTTATGATTAAAACCTTTAGTGTAACTAGTTTTGACAATTTTGTTGAGTGCAACCAAAGTCCCACCTCTCCTAAACAAGAGGAGATTGTATATAAGTAAGAATAGCTATCTCCATTGGTACGAAGCTTTTTAAGTAAAACCAAACGCATCAGCATCAGTATTATAGAAAGGTTTATCATCCTTAACAAACAAACATATCATCCTTAACAAACAAACACATGCCTCAAACTTAAACGTGTTGATAGAAACCTCCAAAATTGAACAAGTGGGTAGTGATTGAGCCTCAATTTGTGGTTGAGCTCTATTAGGCGTGGCGTGCTCTGGAGAATATGAGTTGACTTGAATAAAAGTATATGGATAGGGAGGCTCAATGGTCATTTGTTCAAGAGGAGGATCGTTGGAAGTGTAACCAAAGTTACACTTCGACTAAACAAAAAAAAGAAAAGAAATGTAAAAGTGAGATGACTATATCTCCAATAGTATGATGCCTGGAGTTGATCATCAAAGCCAGGACAATAACTCAGGAAGGAATTTGGGCGCTGATGTAGCTAACAACCACCTTCATAGTTGATTCATCAAGGTGAAACCAAAAGCAAAAATATGAGGGTTTATTAGACGAGATTATGGAGAAGTTCATTGTCCTTAATAGATATCTACGTAGAAAATCAGTAAAATTCAAGACAGCGTAACACAAAGAATGAATCTCGAATTTCAACAGAAACCAACAAATCCATAACGGAAGTCCTAGGTCCAGAAATCCAGTACATCCTAAGCAAACTCGAAACATTTAATTTGAAGAAAATACGAAACCCGGATTCAGAAAGCAATTAATTCCATTACTAGCGAAATGGGATGAAACAGGTAAAGACCATGGATTAAAGGGGAAGAAAACACATACCTTCGGATCTTGTTGCCTTTGCCGACCTGATACATCCCCCAAGAGAATGCACCAAAAGCAGTAAGGAAAATTGCCATGGCGCTAGGGCCTTTGGTGGGAATCCGGCGAGCGTAACGAACGGGTGCGAATCCACCCGGCGGTGGCCCGTCTTGGAGGATCGGCATGTCCTTGACGCTGGCCATTCCAGGCTTCTTCCGAATCGCGGCCTCCGTCATCTCAGATAGCTGCTTCGATGCTTAACTGGACGAATCAAGAGCTGGCTGTAATGGCGAAACAGGAATTAGGACTTGGGAGATTGCGAAGACGAAGAAGAGGTTCAAGTATAGTACAGAGGAAAACGGTGGAACCCGAGCGTATGAAAGCCCATTTTTCTGCCTAATGAGAGCACGCCACGTGGTTGACTGTCAAAGTTTACGTCACCTACAGGTTAGTAGTTATTGCCCATTTTATAAAAATTATGAATTACTAATAATTAGATATGAGTGGTTTTTTTTTTTTAATTAGATTTAAGTTAAATTTTACAAGAAAAGGAATTAGAGGATTATATATAAAATACAATACTATAATTAAATGAAAAATCAATACAAATTCAAACTTAATAATAATATAAAAAATGTATATTATATTTATATTTGTGCTTAAATATTATATTATTTATTTATCGAGCAATTTTCATTTGCATTTTTTTACCATCTTGAAAATAAAATAACTTTAAGCAATAAATATAAATTTAATATACACATTTTTTTTTATATAAATAAGGAAATTAAAATTATCATCTTTACCCGGTTCAACAGAACCGAGAAATTCGACCGGACGTAAAACCCTTAGCCACGTCAGTTGTAAAGGTACAAAAAAAAAAGTTAGGCTGGGGTGATGTTTCCAATTTCCATTTACGACTAAACCCTAAACCCTAGAAGGTGGCAGTGGTTTAAGTTCGTTTCTAGAGCCTTCTTCTCCCCATTATTAGGTCACCCATTCGATCGCTGCAATTCATCGCCTTTCTCCTCTTTACGCTCCCTTGATCTTCCTCTCGCTGTTCCCATCTCCTTTTCGGGGTCTCAGCGGACGTCCACAATGCACCGCTTCGCTTCAGGCCTCGCCTCCAAAGCTCGGTAAGTTTGATGTCCTTTTAGTTGCTAAGCTTGGGATTCAATTTCTATTCCTATCGTTTCTTCTTGTGGTTTGTAATATATTCTGATAATTGATGTAGTTTGACGAACAAAAAATGTTTATTGATTGGTTTGTTTCGTTTTTTTCAGCCTTGCTAGGAAGGGT